CGAGAATAGTAGAGATTATAATAAAATCTTCGGTTTTCAATCGTAAATGAAATTTAAGTCCGATGATTCCAAAAATTTTATTATTGATATCTAAATTTTATTAAGCATAAAAGTTTAGTTATTATGGATTTTTAAGATTAAGAATAGCATAATTTTAATTAATTGTGAATTTTCACAATTTATGCTATTATTAGAAAAATAAAAGTGTTTATGTTATTTTTAAGCATGTTTTTCCTCATTAAATCATTTGTAGATGATTTATATATTAGAGATATTAATATAAGAAAAAAATAATTTTTGAAAATTATTTTCTGATTTTATTAGAAAATTCGAAATTAAAAAGAAAAATAAAAAAAAATAAATTGTGGAAATTATTTTTATTTTGTAGAATCTTCATCATTTGAAGCATCTTAAATTTTATATTAATGATGACTCATTTTTATGTTATTTTATGCAATTGATTGAGCTGATAAAATTTAATAATATTAGTCAACTAAATTAAAAATTAAGAGTGGGACATTATTTAGCATATTTGTTGAAGAAATTAGTATTTTAAATGATATTGAATTCAATTTTGGTGCTATTTGTCCCCTAAAACTTTCCTATAAATAGGAGCATTCATCAATGGTAGAATTACACCACAAAAATTCAGATTTTTATGTTATAAGAAAAAGAAATAGTAAGAATCGAGTTTTTAAGAGAGAAACCGAGCAATTTCAAGAAATACTTGGAGCAAGTTTCTTTTCTTATAAATAGAAGAGGTATGTATTCAAACGTTGATATCATCAATTATAGCTAAGAGTTATAAGTGTTTATATGTGATTTTGATATGTTATCATGTTTAGAAATTATAAATTATATATATATAAGTATATAAAATAAGATTATAAAGTAAGATTATTTAAAGTTCATGTTGCAGCTGCTTATGTTTGTTGTTTTTGACCAAGCTATTAAATTCCAAAAATTATAAAAATGTTTATATGAGATCATCATTATGCTGAGAATAATACTGGAAATTTTAGATTATTTGAAGTTAAAATGAATTTTATAAAAATCATTGATTAAGGTGTTGTCCAGTGAAAAATCTGTGTAGTAATGATGACTGGTAGTATTTAATTACCCTATCTATTGATATTATTTTGAGTTGGAAATTTTATGGTCAATTTATATATTAGTTAAGAACTTTCAGTTTAAATTTTATCTTTATTGGACTGGTTTAGCATGAGATATAGATTTTTAAAAGCAAGCATACAAGTTAGTTGAATATTTTGTTATATTTTCAACTTTGAAATAATATATCTTAATATATGAGTATTATTTTAAAGTGAAATTTTTATGGTAACTTTATATATATGTGGAGAGTACATATGTTAAAGTCAAGTTAAAATGAGTTGAAATGAGTAATTACTAAAAATTATAGATAAAGCATGTTAATATGATTTTAGTATGAAATTTCTCATTATAATAATTAATGTGAATTTTGAAGAGCATGTGTTAGATATTTTCACTTGTAAGTTTATAAGATATTATTTAGAAAAGCATGATCTATATAAAGTTTTGGCATCAAATGATTATTCATCAAGAGTTTGAGTTATTAGAAGTATTATGATTATTTGAGCTATAGCATATTTGCTAGATTCGGATAAGTTAAAAGTTATCAGTTAAAGTTATGAATCTCAATATCTTATTTAGTATTCGAGCATAGTACTTAGTATATTTGTTTATATTTTTATGTAGCGTGAGAAGTTCGGCTAACAAGAGCAACACTTTCATTTTTCAATACTTTTCGAAAAGAAAGGTGGGGACCCAGACTGGGTATTACATTGAGTATAATATTGATATCATGTTCGAGGTATGTATATAGTTTAAGTTTATACGCTTGGGATGAGAAGGCATTCAGTTGTCTCAGAGTATATCCTAAGTTCTGATGGAGGCCGTTTGAGTTGCCTTGAGAAATATCCATCAGATTGTGAACAAGTATCCGATTAGATATCGGCCAGATTCAGTTTAAGTTACTGGAACAGATTTCCAGTCAAGATATATACCAAAGATCATGATATTGTATTATTATTGCTGTTTACTTTAGTATGGGTGATTTCGGGGTACAAGAGGATCAATACTCACCCCCATTGTGTTTTTCAGGTAACAGGGTCGGGCTAGAGGTGTGAGCTCAAAAAGTGGTGGTGGTGGTCGTGCACTTCTTTAAGTGGACATTTATTATGAATTTGATATGTCTGTATAATTATTCACGTTTTTAAGTATTGCCGCTATGCATATTGAGACTTGAACTTGCATTCTAATAAATTTCAGATTTCAAAGTTTTATCAATTTCAGAAGTATGAATATGATATAATTAAATGCAAGTTTAATTAAATCTGTTTTCTTTATGTCTAAAGAAGTATTAGACAAAGTTTAAAGATAAACGGATTTCCAGAAAAGATGAGTTTGAGTAGCATCCCGAGTTAGTCGCAAAAGATTTCGAAAGAGTTATAAGTATTTTTGAAGTAAAAGTTGCGAAAAATTTACTCTGATGAGCGGGGTGTTACACTTGTTGTAGTCATGGGCCGTGAAGCGGTCCTTAGTCAAAACCGCCCAAACAAAATCACCAACCTCAAACTCCACGTTTCGACGCCGCGCATCCGCCTGCCGCTTATACGCCTCCGTAGTGGCCTCCAAGTGAGCACGAGCCTTCTCGTGAATAGCTTGCAATTCGCCAATTAGGTTCGCTGCCCGACGGTCACCCAAAACCACAGAAGGCAAAGCCAATAAATCAGACGGGCCACTAACTGTCTCAAAAGGTTCAAAGCCGGTCGCGCGACTAAGAGCCGAGTTGTGCGCGAACTCAGCCTGACTCAACTGCGAAGATGATCACCCACCAAACAAAGCAACAAGTTACCCAGGGAACGATTCACAACCTCAGTCTGCCCATCCGTCTGGGGGTGGCAGGCACTACTGAAATCCAATCGCGTGTTGGCAATACGCCACAGACTACACCAGAAATGGCTAAGGAACCGCGTGTCGCGATCCGAAACAATCGATTACGGAAGGCCATGCAAACGATAAACCTCCCTGAAGAAAAGCTGAGCCACATGAACTGCATCGGTGGTGCGCTTGCACGGAATAAAGTGCACCATCTTGAGAATCGATCGACAACGACATAAATGGAGTCAAAACCACGCTGAGTCCGAGGTAACCCGAGCACAAAATCTATGCTAATAGCACTCTACGGCTGTGAAGGAATAGGAAAGGGTGATATAAGCTAGCATTGGAAGCAACCCCTTTGGAAACGTGACAAACACGACAACGAGAAACATAGCGGGCCACATCCCGCCGCAACGATGGCCAAAAATAGGATCGACCAACCAGAGCCACCAAACAGTCACTTCCCACGTGACCGGTGCCATGAAGGTCCGCCACCAGCTTCTGCCGCAGACTGCAATCCGGAATACACAACCGAATCCCTCGAAATAAAAACCCATCAGTCAAAGTGTATTCCTCAAAAGGACCGGAAGCAAGACGCTGCACAATCAGTCTAAAAAATGGGTCATCAGCATAAGTCGTCCACAACACATCAAATACCACCACCGAGAGACGCATGTCAGTCAACAAAAGAGTCCTACGACTCAAAGCGTCGGCCACCCTGTTCGAAGTTCCCGAACGATGCTGAAGCACAAACGTGAACTGCTACAAAAAGGAAGTCCAAGAAGCATGGCGAGCCAAAATAATATCCTGTGTCGCCAAGTGGCGTAGGGCCTCGTGGTCCGTATATAATATGAACTCTCGATGAAAAAGATAATAGCGCCAATGACGAACCACACGAACCACGGCGTAGAACTCGACATGGAGGACCAGATAATTTCTCGCTAAGAAACAAGACAGGGCGGTCCCCTTTACTGAGAACCGCACCAATACCAACCTTTGAAGCGTCACAGGACAGCTCAAACGGTTGCGAGAAATCTGGTAAAACGAAGACATGGGCAGATGTCAACTTGTCCTTGATCAAAGAGAATGCAGACTCAGCCTCCGCGGTCCAGATGAAACACTTCCCATGCAGACAATCCGTAATCGGAGCCATAATAGTGCTGAAATGTGAAATAAAGCGTCGGTAAAAAGAGGCTAGGCCGTGAAAACTGCGAGCCTCCATGAAGGACAACAGAGTCGGCCAATCCCGAATCGCTGTAACCTTACTTTCGTCCACACGAATCCCCTCGGCCGATATCACAAAACCCAGAAATAAAACAGAATCCACCAAAAGTACACATTTACGAGGGGCAGCGAAAAAAGACTCAGCACGGAAAACAAATAGTACCCCACGAACATGCTGCAAATGCTCATCCAACATCCGACTGTAAATAAGAATATCGTCGAAATAAACGACGACACTTGCCAATAAAATCCCGAAGCGCCTAGTTCATCACCCGCATAAAAGTGCTCGAAGCATTGGACAGACCGAATGGCATCACCATCCACTCGAATAATCCCTCGCGAATCTTGAATGCTGTCTTCCACTCGTCCCCTGGCTGGATCCGAATCTGATGATAACCACTACGAAGATCGAGCTTGGTGAAAATGGTCGCACCATAAAGCTGGTCCAACAAATCATCCAACCGAGGGATCGGAAAGCGGTAACGAACAGTGATCTTGTTGATGGCCCTCCTATCGACACACATGCGCCAGGAATCGTCTTTCTTTGGGATCAATAGGGCGGGCACTGCACAAGGACTCATACTACGACGTACTGCCCCACGCTGAAGAAGCTCATCGACCTGTCTACGCAACGCCTCGTGCTCTGCTGGGCTCATCCGATAGTGAGGGCGATTTGGAAGAGACGCCCCCGACACAAGATCAATGGGATGCTGAATATCACGAAGTGGGGTAAACCCACCGAGAGCTCATCCGGGAACACATCAGCAAACTCAGATAATTGGGGACGAATTGCCACCAACGGTGATTGCTCGCTAGTTGCATCGAACCCCACGACTAACAACACCAAAGGAGAGTCAACCATAGCCGCCGCAAAAGCTGACTACGAGAGAAAAAGAACCGATGACGTGGTGGTCGGTGGTGGTACCGGGCGAGGCGAGGATGGCAGCAAAATAATTTTCTGACACCCAAAAAGAAATGAATAAGTGTTTTGGCGGCCATCATGAGTAGCAGCATGATCATATTGCCACGGCCGTCCCAACAATAAATGGCAAGCATCCATTGGGACGACATCACACCATATCTAATCCCGGTAAGTTGGGCCAATGTAAAGAGAGACTAGGGTCTGTCTATCAACAGTCACCGCACTCCCTCGTTGAATCCATGACAATATGTACGGTTGTGGATGAGACACACTTGACAGTTGCAATTTGTCGACGGCTTCCTGAGAAATAACATTTTCACAAGCACCAGAATCAATAATAAAATGACAAATTTTGTTACCAACGGTGCAAGTCGACTAAAAAAGGTGATGTCGCTTCCCCAGATCCGCACCCGATCCCTTCGGCGTCGAACAGGTACGGCGGATGACTAAGGCCATGCCAACATCACCACGAACGTATTGCTCCACCCCTGCCTTCTCCGTATCGTACATAGGTTGGTCTTCAAATCCCTCCAGCGTCTCCGTCTCGCCCACGTCCTCCGTAAACAAAGATTTTGGACCAGGCCCTCGCGGACACGCTGCCTGACGGTGACCGACCTCCCCACAAGAAAAGCAACAAAGGTTCGCAACACCCCGTGAATTTCCCGCCGTCGGCTGCTGCCCCGTGGAAGTCCCGCCGCGCTGAAATTGGCCACTGGCCACCAGAAAGCGGGCTGAAGCAACTCCCGGGCCCACATTAGTGGCCGCTGTTTGAGGTGAACGACCCTGGTGAAAATTCCCAGTCACTTGATGGCTTTGACGTGATGACGGAATAAAAGAGGGTCCCGTCTACTGTCCCAACTGAAGCTCGACAAAGGCAGCTTTGTGGTGCGCAATGGACACCGTCTCCAGCGGAAAAAGATTTAAAGTATTACGAATGGGTGCCCGTAGTCCGCTAATATAGCGTGACACCAACTGGCTCCGGGTGTCACGTAATTCAACCCGAGTTAACAAATGATAAAATTTGTTAGTGTAATCATCAACGGAACGAACACCTTGTCGCAAGTTATGAAGCTGTTGATAAGCAATAGAATCACAGTTACAAGGGACAAACTCGCGTTCTACCAACTTACAGAATTTTACCCATGACGACAATTTCGGTTTCCCTTGACGATGCCGCACGTTCGTTACTTGTATCCACCAAGTTGTCGCCTGACCTCGAAATTGAGTGGCGACCAAATCAACTCGTCGGTCCTCCGGGACATCCTTGAATGAGAGGGCTGCCTCGACCGCCGCCCACCAGTCCAGAAAATCCGAACCATCGCCATCACCCGCGAACTCCAGAATGTCCACGCGAAACCTGAAATCTCCACGTGACCCATCGCCCCTTCTATCGGGCGTCTGCCATCACGTCGAGGCTGCCATCCCCTGTCGAAATCGTCACGATAGTCTGTCCTCCCCCGTCGCTGCTGCTCAAGTCTGAAATCCCTCCAGTCACGGTGATTAGGGTTTCTATCAACAAACTCGAAGTCTTCAAAATGCGGGTCGTCAGCATCGTCATCCTGGAAAGCGCCACCTTGCTGCTAACCCCTCGGTCGCCGTCTGTGATCACCCCCATTGAAACCTCATCGCCGGTCGGAGATGCGGGTGAATACCGGCGGGGCGCTCCGCCAAAGCCACGTCTACCACGGCCCCCTCGAAACCCTCCGAACGCGCCCCGGTCGCCGGCATCGCGGTTCGTACGAACCTCTTCAATCAAGGTATACATAGCCAGTCGTAGTTCCTCCATACCCGAAGGCATCTCGGTAAAACGGTCGTCGATTCCTTGAAAACGATCGTCCATACGTTGTAATCGTTCATCGTCGTTCCCGGCATTACCTTTGTTCAACGGCATCGTGGATCGTTGACTGGTCTCTGGATACCAACTGATGTAGAACGTGATACAATCGGGCTTTCTTGAGATACTCTCTCAAGATGAACAAATAAATTGAGATACTCTCTCAGAGTGAACGGATAAATTTTTATTTCCAACGTGCGTTCTTCTCACGGTTTCATTCTATATAAATAAACAAGGAGTCCTTATCTTGCTAAACAAGTGCAAGATATTTTATTTCCTACTCAAAATAACTATTAACTAAAGAAATAGCATAAATCAAGTAAAAATAATAAAAATTCCTAGATAATCAAATACGGAGTCGATCAAACTTGTCCAAATATGCTTGGGCGGCTTCGTCTCCATCACATCCGCTGTGTCTACTTTAGCGGAACAGAATAAAAATATGCAGAAAAGCAGATGATGAACATATTCATTGAATGTAGAATAACAAAAATGAAGAACTCAGAAAGTAGAAGTACGAATATTCTTATCTAACTTGGAGGAGATGATTTTCCGGTAGAGATATGGTTGTTCATCGGTGAAGATTAACTGTGAATAAATTATGGAGCCCTTCCTCTAGCGCCAAACTGTTGTCGTATTGATTTGTAATAACATGGGGGGTTCAGAATTGTGTGTATATATCGAATATTTTGTGTATTTTATATTTATTTAATATATATACCCACGTGTAATATTTTAATAGGCGAGGCCAAAATTTGATGTCAACAATTACATATATATATAGAGAGAGAGAAAGGATCATATGTAGATAGTAAAAGAAATAAGAATGATTGTGGACCATGTGATCAATTGTATTAATGGACATTATAAAGTCAAAATTAAATAACAATGGTCAAATACACAGGGCAAAATTGTAAATAAATGAGTAATCCATGACCAAATAAATACCTCATAGGACATTTATGTAATTTTATCATAAAAAAAGTGGGTCCCACTCCTATAATTAAAGGCACGACTCACTCGCATTCTCTTCTCTCTCTCTGTCTCTCACATACACACACACACACCACATACGTAGCCACCACCCGCCGGAGGCTCACATCCCGTCGGCTGACACGACCTACCACCGCAGCAAGCCCCGCGTGTCGTCGCCCTCGACGGACTTGATGCCACCTCCGTCAGCCGGTCCAAAGCTCACGGCGCGACTCGACGGCCACAGCAACACCCCGCCGTCAACAGATCGCCACCCGCTTTCGCCTTCCGTCAACAGTCCGCCGTTTCACCTCAACTGTCCGTCCACCACAGCTTCGCCTCGACGCCGCAACAGGCCACCACCAGCAGCGAGAACCACTCATCGGAAGTTTCAGTTCGCCGGCGGAGAGAACCACCACCCGCCCGCCTCGCCGGCACTCGTCAGCCGCCAGTCACCACCACAGTACATCCATTCCCATCACCGGCAGAAATTCTGAAATAAGAGAGCTCCGTTTGACAAGCGGACCTTCACGGCGAGGGCCTCCATGCCGGCGGGGAAGACCGGCGGGAGAGAAGAAGGTGGCGGAGGCGGCGGCGCTGTCCGGAAGAGACGGGGATGTGCAGGGGTACAATTCTCAGATTTGGATTTCTTGAGTTGGGTTCAGATTTCAATTTATTGAGTTGGGTTCTATTGTTGGAAATTAGACAAATGTAGAGGATCTATTTGTAATTTTTGAAATTTGATATGTTCTTACATAATTGGTAAACATGATGAATACTTGCACAATATATTATTAATAAAATGCACAATAATTTATTATTTATATTATAATAAAAATAAAAAAAATAGATTTCTGGCGTTGGGAGCTTTCTTGGTGTTTTCTGGCGTTGAGAGAATTGGCTTTGGGTGTGATTCGCGGTATGAGTTTCGATTCAGCTAGGCAATTTGGCAGTGGAGGGGTCGCTCTTCTCATGCTGTTGGATCCCCTGGGTTGATTTGGTGACTGCTAGTCTGGTTGGATTTGCTGGAGAGGGAGCTGTCTGTGTTTTTTTTCGTTTGTGTTGCTTTCGTTTGTGTTGTCTGTGTCTGTTTTTGTCTCGTTTTTTGTTGTAGTTTGTTTGTTTTTGTTTGGAAAATGAATACAGGCTAGGCATTGTGCAGTGGCTCTGTTTTTCATTTTCTTTTTTTTCGTTTTGTGGAGTTCTCTAGGCCGCCACGTGCGTGTCCTCTCAGGTTTCTATTTCTGTTGTTTATTAGGCGTGTTTTTGGTTTGGGCTGTTGGCCCCTGTCTCATTACCCTGTTGGGGCCTTAGATATTACCCCGTTGGGGCCTTGTAATTTGTTCCTTTTGCACTTTTGTGCACTTTTATATTACCTCTATCGTTCCGGAAAAAAAANGCAATGTCCATTATGTTGAGCTCTACGACAAAAATGTCAAAACAAAAATAACCGAGTCGAAGTTGTGAGGAAAAAAAAATAAAATACAACCGATTTTTTTTCTCATTTCATCTGATAGGGTGCATTCTGTTAGTAATCAATGTGCAATCCGTCTATCACTATTGTGCGATTATAACACATTTATTAAATCATACTTTTTTTTAATAATTTGACTTGAATCATACTAAAACTAAATCGAAATAATCGATTTATTTGTGCAATTAACTGAATTACTTAAATAATCGTAATAGTTTATTATTTATATTATAGAGATATAATTAGTATTTTTAATATATTTACTTAATATTTTATATTATACTTAAATGAAAATAAATATTATATATACATATATAATTATATAATTTTGGCGGTTCGGTTATTTAAGTTATTTTGTAAAATAAAAACGACATCGAACCAAACCGAAATTTTAAAATTTAAAACAGGTAATCAAACAGAAATATAAAAAAAAAATCGAAATGAAAGTTTTATATCGGTCGGTTGTTCGCTATTTAATACGATAAGTATATTTAATATGTTAATAATTTTATTTATTATTTTTATATTATTTTTTGTTGGAAAAATTTGTGTTCGGTTTGTTTCGATATCTTTTGTACAATATGATAGTCGTTATAATATGTAGCATGTTGTTCTGTAAAGTGCAACGTGTTATTTTATAAAGTGCAACGTGTTGATGTATAAAGTGAACTACTATAATTTTGGTACGTTATCATGCTTGTGTTTTGTGTGGATAACTGATGTGATTGATGTTAAAGTGTTAACGTACATCCGTTTTTTAGATTTATGTTGTGTGGTATTTTTTGCAGGAGCTGTTGATGTTAACTGTGGAGTGTGGTGATAAAGTGCAAGATGTTATTTTATAAAGTGCAATATTCTGATATATAAAGTGCACTACTTTATACTTTATATGATCACATATAAAGTATTTGTTTCTTGGAAACTATATTTTAGTATATATAACAGTACAGATTAACTCAACTAATTCGGTCGGTTTGGTAACTATAGTGCAATTTGACAATCAGTAATCTGCATTGTGCCTATCATAAATGTGCATTCAAAGCACACATGTTTTTTTAATGATTCATCTCAACCTAAGTTAAAATCGAGATAATCGGTTTATTTGATCAGTTAACCGAAATAATCTAAATAAAAAAAAATAATTTATAATTTATATTATAAAATTTTTAATATTTTTATTTAATATTTTTTATTTGTGAAGACCTAAAATATATACATATAATTTGTATATATATTAAGTTGCTATAGTGCAATACGACAATCATTAATGTTCAATCTCTCCAACAATAATGTGCACTCGAAATGTAAATATTTTCTATGACAATATATTTGGTATTTATTATTTTTTATTTAATACTTTATAGTATTGTTCGTTGAAAATGACCAATATATATAAAAATAAAATTAAAATATAAAGCCGACATCGAACCGATGTAATTGAAATTTAAAAGTAAAAAACAAGTAATCGGATCGACATATAAAAAGTTCGAATAAAAAAAGTTAGTGGAATCTCACAAGAACAAAAGTGCAACATGTCAATAATTAAAGTGCAATTTGTCAAATACTACTATGCACGGTTTTCTCCACTATTGTACAGTGTGAAAGGACCGAACTTTTCTCCAACCTAATTGAAACCTATGAATAATGTGCATTTCAATTTTAAAAATTTGTAATAATGTTTATTTCAATTAACATAATGTGTATTCATAAAATTATTTATATAATAAAAATATATTTGGTATTTATATTTTTATAAAATATTTCATTTTATTGCTTTTTCAAACTACTTAATATATACATACAACTATAATATATAAATAACATTAAATATGATATTTTAAATTAACTTATAGGAGCCCATTAAGTCTTGAAATCCTCAACCCAACAATCCATCACATCTATTAAATTGTAATATTTAATACATGTGTAGTTCAATTTTTCCATATTGTAAATAAGTCCCTTAAAATTGTCTAATTCACAAAAAATTCCCCCAAAAAATGTCCACCTCATCTTCACAGCCCTAATTTCCGAGATGGACAGAGATGGAGGCGGGAAGAGCAGGTACGGCCGTGTCGCCGAACAACGTGGACTGTCTCTCACCACCGCATTGAACACAAAACCACCCTTCGGGCGGGAGGCGAAAGATGGAGCTGGTCAGTGGCGGGATGTGGGGGAGCACGGCGGAGGTCGGGAAGAGAGAGGAAGGCGCGGCGGTGGGTCAGGAGCGGCGGACATGGTGGCGTACGTAGCTGCTGGCCTCCGCGACGGAAATATAGCAGACAGGAATTGCTGGAATGGAGGCCGCCGGAGAAGATGGAAGAGACGGCGAGGGGAACGGCGATGTACCGGAGCTCACCACTTCCGACGGCGGGGCGGCATACGGCGGACTGTGGTTGCGGACGTCGGACATACGCAATGCCGGCGGGATTCTGGGCGACGGCGCCGTCGTGGTGTCCGTTTGTCACACTAGGTGACGGGCCTGCCGGCGGAACTGTGTGTTACAATGTGCGGTGAGTGTGTGTGACGGGGTGTGTGTGTGAGAGAGAGAAATAATGAATAGAGAAAGTTAATAAGAGAGAGAGAGAGGGAGTTAATGAGGGAGATGGAAGGGTGAGTTGGGTGAGGTGCCGTAGCAGTTGGATGTGGTGTGTGTGGGTCCCACTATTTTTTGGTGTTTTCAATTACCTCATTACCCTTAATGAAGGTATATTTATGGCTTTTTCTTAGTCATTAGATCATCCGATCAAATGGCTACAATTTATTCTCATTTCTTTCATTGAGAACCATTCTCATCGGAGCGCGACCCTATATATATATATGATATAGCCATATAAGGATATTCCGGTCCAAAGGCTCCCTACTCGACCAGCGAATTGCTCAAACCACTCGCATGCGACATGAACCCGTTGACATGCTCAAGTTGACTTCCTCAAAGTCGACTTTTTACAAGATGGATAACGAGAAGTAGTAGATACCATACAAGTCGACTCGCAAAAGTCGACTTGGTGTAGTCGACTCCCAGATAGTTGACATCTACTTGAGAAGACCAACAAAGGCGTAGCCTCTGAATAACCGGAAGATCCTGGGTCGACTCGTCCATGCTCAATGTCGACTCCTCCTACCTCGAGACGTGAGGTACATTGACGACTTAATACACTTATAACACACTCAAAACTCTGCATTCTCCAAAGGATAAGAAGGAATCTTGTGATGACTCAGCAGCAAAGGGGAGACGAACCGACCGGGGCATTTTAGACCTTTCACACAAGTCGACAGGGGCATTCCGGGTACTTTAGGTAAGTGTTCGCTCCTATATAAAGGAGGTGAGGTAACCCAAAACCCCAACTCTCATTCATTCTCCACTCTCCCTCATAGCTGCTGCGCAGCCTCTCTTCATTGCTCTCATATAGTGACTTGAGCGTCGGAGGCTCTACGCCGGAAACACCTCCGGCGTTGAGTTTTTGCCAGTGTTCTGGCGGTCTAGCAACGGTTCGAAGGCGATTCAAACAGATCTGAGCTCCTTACCACCGGTTCACTCCTGATCTAAGAATAGACCCATCATATTGGCGCCGTCTGTGGGAAGTTCTTAAGGGAAACAAGAGCTCTGCACCTAGCTCCGATCTGTTTCTGATGGCTGAGAAGGAAGGTTTGCAGAGGAACATGAATTAGAAGTTCAGGGGAGCTTGGACAGACAGGAGACCACCACCACTCTCTACCCCTAGACCTCCAGTTATGCAGATGTTGGGATTACCACCATTTGGAGGACTTCCGCTGCAGGGAGTGACTCTGGGTGGAGAAACACCCGTTACTCCACCTGGGGTAAAGGTGCAAGTGTTGACTCAGATGGGGACAAGTCAAAACCCTGATCCAAATGTTGGATAAAAGGAACTAACGAAGATGTCTCAACGTGAAGGAAAACAGATCCAGGAGGCGCCGGAACAGACACAGACACAACCCCGCGTCGAGGAGCAGACTCTGATGATGACGAGGAGTGAGATGCAAAATATGATCGCTGAAGCTGTGGTCGCCCAAATGAAGCAGGCCGTGCGAGTCGAGCCGAATCCTCAGGTCGAGCAGAACCCGAGGGTCGAGCAACTGCCCCGTGTCGAGCAACAGGCCCAGTCGAACGTGCAGCAAAACGGGCGGGCGGACGAGGAGGATTCTTCCATTCGAACTATAAATCTACAAGCGAGAGACGAAACATTGGAACAGCTGCTGGCCAGGTCCGCGATTTGCAGGCTCGAGTCGGGGGAAGGAAAAGCAGAGAAGCAAAGGAACATCCATTCTCGCAACAGATCCTGAGAGCCGATTTACCTAAAGACTTCAGGGAATTGAACATATGGTACGATGGCTCCACTGACCCGTCTCGACATTTGAGGAGTTTTGAGAATATGGCGGTGCTTCACCGCCACAGTGACCTGGTGCAATGGCGCGCTTTCCTGACGACTCTAACAGGGTCAGCCCAGGACTGGTTCCACTAACTGCCAGCTGGGTCGATTAAGGACTTCAACGGCTTCAGCTTGAGTTTCCTCAATTAGTTTGCAAGTGTAAGGGTGCAGGAGAAATCCTACCTCTCGTTGATCAGCATGCAGCAGAAGAAGGGCGAGTCGCTACGAGAATATGTAGCAAGGTTTACAAGGGCATGCGTCGACTGCCCGACAGCAACATAGAAAATCAAATCGGGAGGACTGACGAGGGGAATACTACCAGGGTTATGTAAGAACTCTCTGGCCAAGCGACCTCGTAGGAGTTTCGACGACGTGTTGGGAAGTTGTGCAAAGTACATGACTGTCGAAGAAGCAGAAGTCGACTACATGCAAAGTATAAAGATGTCCCAGACCGAAAGTCGAGACGACAAAAAGGAGAAGAAGATTCACTCGACTGGGGAACGGAGAGGATCACCACGAGCTGACGCGGGTGAGGGACGACCTAGGGGATGGCGGCCGATTCAATACACATCTCTGACGGCTCCCCATGCGAGAATACTGGAAGTAATGGAGAGAGAGATCCGAGACGACGTGGTGAGATGGCCGTGGACGAGAAAGGATGGACCGGTGAAGCCCAAAAGCAACTTGTATTGTCGATTCCACAAAGACTATGGGCATAACACTGACGATTGCAGACACCTCAAGGACGAGATCGAGAGGTTGATAAAAGCTGGCCACTTGAAAGATTTCATATACAAAGATCGTGAGAGGTCGAGCAGGAGGAGAGAGAGAAGCAAAAGCCCTCGCAAGAGGGCAAGGTCACTAGAGAAAGAGGAACTCCCACAAAAAAGGGGAGTAATTAACATGATCTTTGGAGGGCCCAAAGATGGGGATTCAAATCGTGCAAGAAAGACGTATGCTCGAGGTCGATAAGCAAAAGTCGAGGTACAACAGGCCGATGAGAGCGAACCGGTGATGATCTTTGGACCTGCTGATGTGGGGAAGGTTGAGAGACCATACAATGATGCTCTAATGATAACTGCACAGGTGTCGGGATACGCGGTGCAAAGGGTGTCTGTCGACAAAGAAAGTTCTGTGAACGTGATTTTCTATGAATGTCTCAAAAGGATGGAACTCAACATCGAGCTTACACCTCTACACACGTCACTCTTTGGATTCAATGGGTCAGAAGTTGCTCCCCTAGGAGAAATCATGCTCGCTGTCGTCCTAGGGGAAGGTGATTTAAGGAAGGTGAAAATGGTGAGATTTATGGTGGTCGACGTCGAATCGGCGTATAATGTGATCCTTGAGAGGCTGGCGCTCAATGCCTTTCAAGCAGTGGTGTCGACTTACCACATGAAGCTAAAGTTCCCCGTCGGAGACCGAGTGGGAGAGGCTCGAGGAGACCAGAAATTATCGAGAACATGTTATCAAATTGTGGTGAAAACCAACCAGCGGGCTGAGATCAAGGAGGGAAAGAAGCCAATGTCGAGGGAAAAGAGGCCGAGGGGGAGTGACCTCGAGCTACAGGGAGAAATAATGGAGATCCAAATTGGAGAAAGGGAGGACTAAACCACCAAAGTCGGGAGAGAGTTGGAGGAGGAATTGCGAAAACAATTGGTGGAGTTGCTGAAGGAATTCACAGACATATTTGCCTTCTCCCCTGAGGAGTTGACGGAAATCGACCCGGATGTCATGGAACACAAACTCAATGTCGACCCCCTCAGAAAGTCGGTGAAGCAGCGACTCAGGCATCATGGAGCTGAAATCGACAAAGCACGTGAAGTCGAGGTGGACAAGTTGCTGAAAGCCAAACACATCAAAGAATCCAATTCCCTGAGTGGATATCTAACACAATAATGGTGAGGAAAGCACTGAACAAATGGCGTATGTGCATCAACTTTCGTGACTTTAACCTGGCATGCCTAAAAGACCATTATCCTTTGCCGAGAATCGACCAGCTAGTCGACTCCATGGCTGGTTGCGAATTACTGAGCAAGATGGACGCATCTCAAGGGTACCACCAGATTCCCTTGGCCCTGGAGGATCAAAGTAAAGTGAGTTTTGTCACGAGCAAGGGGACATATTGCTATGTCGTCATGCCTTTTGGCCTAACAAATGTAGGAGCAACTTATCAGCGATTGATGGATCGTATGTTCAAACCTCAGATTGGTCAAAATATAGAAGTATACGTTGACGACATCTTGGTGAAAAGTAAGTCCTCGACTTCACACCCAGATGACTTAAGGGAAACATTCAAAACCCTTAGAGCATTTGGGATGAAGTTGAACCTGAGCAAATGCGCCTTCGGAGTAAGGGCGGGACGATTTCTAGGTTATGTCGTCACAGAACGAGGGATCGAGGTAAACAAAGAAAAGGTGAAGGCCATACTCGACATGGCTCCGCCACGAAACATAAGAGAAGTGCAAGTTCTGACGGGGAGAATCGCAGGTTTGAGCAGATTTATTGCTCGAGCGGCTGAGACGAGTTTCCCTTTTTTCAAAATTGCTCAAGAAGAATGCGACTTTCAAGTGGAGTGATGAGGCGCAAATGGCCTTTAAAAAATTGAAGGAGTTTCTGAGCGAGTTGCCCCTGTTGACTAAGCCTGAGCCAGAAGACGAGTTGGTGTTGTACATCTCGGTGGGGGAAGTCTCTCTAAGTTCGGTATTACTGCGAGAAGAAGGAAGCTCCCAGCAGCCGATCTATTACACAAGTAGAGCACTCCAAGGTGCGGAGACAAGATATCCCGAGGTCGAGAAAGCTGCCTTAACATTAGTGATAACGGCTAGAAAGTTGATGCCATATTTTCTGAACCATGTGATAGTGGTAAGAACAAACTTTCAGCTTGGAGAAACCTTAGGTCGACCTACTATCTCGGGTCGACTCGTGAAGTGGGCAGTCGAATTGAGCGAATA